ATCACGTAACTTCATGCTCACAAAATGAAGACAGGAGCTCAGTGAGACACCATTCATGCTTCTGTGTATCATGTAACTTCATGCTCACAAAATGGAGACAGGAGCCCAGTGAGACACCATTCACGCTTCTGTGTATCACGTAACTTCATGCTCACAAAATGGAGACAGAAGCCCAGTGAGACACCATTCACGCTTCTGTGTACCACGTAACTTCATGCTCACAAAATGGAGACAGAAGCCCAGTGAGACACCATTCACGCTTCTGTGTATCACGTAAGTTCATGCTCACAAAAACTAGACAGGAGCCCAGTGAGACACCATTCACGCTTCTGTGTATCACGTAACTTCATGCTCACAAAATGGAGACAGGAGCCCAGTGAGACACCATTCACGCTTCTGTGTACCACGTAACTTCATGCTCACAAAATGGAGACAGGAGCCCAGTGAGACACCATTCACGCTTCTGTGTATCACGTAACTTCATGCTCACAAAATGGAGACAGGAGCCCAGTGAGACACCATTCACGCTTCTGTGTACCACGTAACTTCATGCTCACAAAAACTAGACAGGAGCCCAGTGAGACACCATTCACGCTTCTGTGTATCACGTAACTTCATGCTCACAAAATGGAGACAGGAGCCCAGTGAGACACCATTCACGCTTCTGTGTATCACGTAACTTCATGCTCACAAAATGGAGACAGGAGCCCAGTGAGACACCATTCACGCTTCTGTGTACCACGTAACTTCATGCTCACAAAATGAAGACAGGAGCCCAGTGAGACACCATTCACGCTTCTGTGTATCACGTAACTTCATGCTCACAAAATGAAGACAGGAGCCCAGTGAGACACCATTCACGCTTCTGTGTATCACGTAACTTCATGCTCACAAAATGGAGACAGGAGCCCAGTGAGACACCATTCACGCTTCTGTGTACCTACACATACACTCACACATAAGCTTGTAAAATCTGCAGTGAATCAATACAATACACATCATGTCTGGCCACACACTTTAATATTTGGAAAACATGAACAGTTTCAAAACAATACCATCAATTGATTGAAGGATTAAGAAGTATAATGTCTGGGCTTCGGAGGCACAGAATCAGTGGACAACAGGCATGAGTAACACAAACAAATCCTTAAGTGTTCACAGGAAACACATGTAATGCAAGTTGACATGAGATTCATATTACTAAAGGTCAATTTCGGCCGAGTGATTGAAGAGTCCACTGATAGGAACGCTACCACAATATAGGCAACTTTCTTGTCCTCTCAACCAGAGAACTGAATGTAAATCATTAATCAACCCAAGGCCACAATCTGTTTCCTAACTTAAAACATTTTGCTGATGAATATAATAATTCTGATTATTTGGGGGATGGGAAATAGGCAAAATAATATGTTGGTTGGCATGTGCGTATATTTGTTTTTTGCATATTTTTTGTGGTGGGAGGAACAGAGATATAGTAGTTTTCTTTTAATTATGCAAATCTTAAAGGTTAGTTGAATATGTAGCAGCTAATTAGGTGAAGGTTTAAGTTGAATATTTAGCTCTTTAAAAAGCCATGCCAAAATCCTGATCTAAGCAGGTGAATACACTATACTGCACAGAACTGTTCAGAAACCTTCGTGAATTCACACACCGATTCAGCAGGAATTATTGTCTTACCTCACGTCCTTCAAAAATAGAGTTATCGTTATTTTACACTGAACGCAACTGTAGACATTATTTTGGTTATATCATGGGGTATCAGCTTATGGGAGGAAAGCTCAAAGTAATACAAGTCATGAACATGGCGCTTACAAACCAAAGATGATAATGTTGCAAACATGTTATTCTAGTCCTGCAACAGCGAAGGGACAGCACTCTTGCATGTGAAAAACAATCATCTTTTTAAGATGGGTTTACTCAGGCCTTACCAATTATCAGAGAAACAGTTATGTGTTTGTTTGTTTGATATGCCAATAGAGAACTACAGACTTAAAAGCACATATAGACAGAAAATAAATAGTTGAGTGACAATGTGCTTTTGTTTCTTTCATACCAGGGTGCCCAAAGTTTCCGATGATAAATATAAAATGTCAATGCCAGAAAATAACCAATCTCGATTATCCAATGAAACAGATTCCATTGGGCACAAGAGACTAAATAGCTGTGAAACTTTATGAATGGATCACAGAAAATCAGTGATGACAGGTATTCGCAAAATGGGTAAGTATGCCTGCATATCGTAACTTATATGTTGAGATCATCTTCATCTGTTGTACAAGTAACTGAAAAGTCTACCCCGACATATTCCAACAACACCAACCCAATCCTGACATAACACACAATATTTAACAAGCTACCCCGTCACTGCTAATGCTCACCACAAACAAAATAACAACATTTTCTGTCTTGAGTCAAAAGATTTTCTCTCAAGTTGAGAATGTAACAAGTGAGTGAGTGAGTTGGGCTTAATGCCGCTTTTTAAACAGTATTCCAGTTATATCGCGGCGTGTCAGCTTAATGTGAGAGGAAAGTCCAAAGTGGTGCAAGTCTCAGACGTTTACCACTTCGGTGAAACCCACGAGCACGGGTATGGTGCTGACAAACCTAGAAACATAATCGAACCCACAATCATAGGTTCTGGCATGCCCAAGGGACACAACTCTGCACAGCAAATCGCTGCGCCATGGACGACTGGGCCACCCGTGCCCCCAAGAGAATGTAACAAGCACAAAGTGTTCTTTGTCCAAGAAATAACTTATTATTAACAGGATAACCATTATTTAAGTGGACTGCCCTAAAACTGACTTTGAGACTATACAGACGAACATTAAGGGAAAAGAACAGGTGCCCCTTTCACAAATCAACAGACCTATGAAAGTCATAGTGCTAAGAGTGCCTTGTGGAATGAGTGAGTGAGCGAGTTGGGTTTAATGCCGCTTTTAACAATATTCTTTTAACAATAGTCCAGTTATATCACGGCATGTCAGCTTAATGTGGGAGGAAAGCCCGAAGTGATGCAGGTCTCAGACGTTTACCACTTCGGTGAAACAAACAACGACGAATATGGTGCTGACAAACCTAGAAACATAATCGGGCCAAACCGGACTACGAACCCACAATCATTGGTTTCTGGCGTGCCCTAAGGACACAACTCTGCACAGCGAATTGCAGCGCCTTACACAACTGGGCCACATGCGCCCCCTTGTGGAACAAAGCTAAGTGAATCACATATCCTGAAGTAAAACTTACAAGCAACATTCTTCTTCAAACATCTATATTTTAAACCAAATCCCATCAACACCTTAAAGAGAAATATATTACAAATGTATTTAAAAAATAATCACCCTACCTTAATGCTCGCACATTGTTTTAATGACCCTCCCCAAATAGAAAAGATGCAAAAGAACTCTGTATTTTATAATAAAATGTTGTTTCTCACCATGATCCTCCCCAAATATGAGCATTATTTTCTTGACCCTCCCCTAGCAACTGTCATATTTCGGGGTGAAGATGAGGTTTCTCTAGTAATAACAGCTCCACACTGACTACATCATGTCATGTCACAGTCCAGCTTGTGTTGAGTCTCCCAGACAGCTAATAACGATGCTTAGTTTCACTTCTACTAATCTGGAGCGTGGTATGTCCCTGACCTGGCAGAATAAGATGACAGGTGCTTGTTCTATCATCAAAGAGGTGTTACTCTTTAGCTGAGTCCATACTCCAAGTACCAATCACCAGCAAGTGAGTGTGTCATGTTAGATGACAGTGAATGCTAATCCTAATTAGGTCGAGCCAATTATGCGATAAACTTATTCTTTGTCCAGCAAACCAGAATAAGAGCATTATGCAGATTCTATTTGATGAGAGGTTACCAAAGACAGGCCAGGATTGTACAACTGATCTTGTGTAGAAAGAAATCTGTTGCAGAGACCCTTAGTTTAAGACAGATTGCACTGTAGAAAGGGTCTGATTAAGACCGATTCTAATGTTGAAAGCATCTGGTTAAAACCGATTCCAATGTTGAAAGCACCTGGTTAAGACTGATTCCAATGTTGAAAGAATCTGGTTAAGACTGATTCCAATGTTGAAAGAATCTGGTTAAGACTGATTCCAATGTTGTTTGAATGTGTATTCGACCAATTCCACCCGAGAAAGTACCTTGTTTTGACAAATTCTACTGTGAAAAGAGTCTTTGTTAGGCAGATTCCACTTTAGAAAGAGAGTTTTGGGGACAAAGGAGTGTCTTCGATAGACAGATTCCACTGTAGAAAGAGTCTTGGATAGACAGATTCCACTGTAGAAAGAGTCTTTGATAGACAGATTCCACTGTAGAGTGTCTCTGTTAGACGGATTCCAGTGTAGAGAGTGTCTTTCTCAGACAAATTCCACAGTAGAAACTCTTTGTCACACAGACACTGTAGTTAACACGTCCCGAAGGCCTCCTTATATTAATTAGCTAGTTTACCTATTTGTTGCTCAAATCCTAGAAAAAATGTTTTTTATAATTATTTCCATGATTGGTAGGAGGCGAAATTTATAACATTTCAAATTGTCTGTTTTTCTTTTGTCAATTTTGTGAATTGTTACAAGAATGTTAAATATTTGTAATGTTGTATCATATTCATAATGATAGAGACACACAGGTCCTGGCTACTTCCTGCCCATCTCGCCCACTCCTGCCTGCAGGGAAACCAAATGTTGTCATCTGCATAGCGTGGTCATCAAATTCAGCGGAAATAAAACCGAAAGCCAGAACATATTGCGGCTGTGTGCCCTGCAGTTAAAAATATCATAATCAAATTAACCCTGAATTGTACACATTTACTAGAGTGAGTGAGTGAGTATGGTTTTACGCCGCTTTTAGCAATATTCCAGCAATATCACGGCGGGGGACACCAGAAATGGGCTTCACACATTGTACCCATGTCGGGAATCGAACCCGGATCCTCGGCGTGACGAGCCAACGCTTTAACCACTAGGCTACCCGACCGCCCCACATTTACTAGAAGTCAAGGGATACAAATTGTCACAGATTTGCCATTTCTCATCTTTAACACTGAGACAAGTTGGCTAACACTGAATATTGGAGTTCATTAATGAAATACACACGTTGTAATCTAATGCATATATGTGACTGGGGTTTCCATCAGGGGTGAAATGATACATCGATGCACCGGTTCATTGTGAGTTTTCATGGGATGACACACAACATTTATGTGTTGTAATTAGCATTTCAACTTTACTACAGAAAATAGCCGCTACAAACATTTTGCGTTTCATTTTGAACCTGCTCTGAAATTTTAGAATCAAGAAGTTTCCACGTGATTTGCTGTAAATATGCTCACCGCGATACGTTTTGTTTCGTGACCTATGTATTGTGATATGTATTGTTTCTTATTTCAAATGTTGACATACACAAGTCACACATTATTTTAGCATGTGCTGTAAGTTGATTACCGTAATTAATACTGATTACAGATTACAGATAACCAAGGTAATATGGACATACTTGAAACTATCAACTTTGCCAGCATGGCCAGGCCACTTGACGATATAAACATGTCATTTGACAAGTAAACACAAATATCTTCCAAATATATCATACATGCTACAGTCCATGACAGACAGGGTAAAAGTAAACAATGGTAGAGAGTCTATGAAATTAACAAAACAATCGCGAAGCAAAATGTGTCAGGCAGTCGAGTCATCCCACAGATGACATCTTTACCGACGGGGTTAACCTCTTTGGTCATGTGGACAAGGCGACCAACCTTGGATCAGATGGTCCGTAGTTCGAATCCCATCACAGGATTCAGAATTTTATGGCTGCTACTTACCGCCCAAGGGTCTGAGCATGTTCATATTTATTTGAGTAAAATAAGTCTCAGTACCTATGTTGCCTGGGATGTGCCTTCAGTTGACAACAGTGTGTAACATGGCAAAGAGCCATTCCACAGGTGGCATCATTGCTGAGGGGATAAACCTGTTTGGTCATGTGGATAAGGCATCCAACCTCGGATCAGAAGGTCCATGTTTCGAAATCCATAATGGGACTAAGCTACAAAGACAATGGGGAGATATCACCATGATCACAATCCCAACACGGGGAATTTGTGTTCATTTGAGTTTGTGGTCAACAAACTCCCTTGATTCTGACAACAATTTCATCAGTCATCAAGAAGATCTACTACTAAGGTAGTACACTATTACAAAGATGACCTTTGCTGTAAATCTAACTAAACTAAATTAATTTCACCATCTTCATCCAATACAGGAGGCTTGAAATATTCACTCTTAATCCCATTTGTCGTCTGTGTTGTATTTGGTGAACCATTGTCACCACCATGCTGTGACTTCAAGTGAGTTTTAAGGGATCCAGGCTGAGAAAACACTTTCTCACACAAATGACACTGAAATGGTCTTTCACGAGAATGGACCCTTCGATGTGGAATTAGATTTTCAGAATATGCAAAAGTCTTGTCACAAAACTCACACTTAAAGGGTTTCTCTCCAGAATGCATTCTTAGATGTTTCTTCAATGTTCCCGACTGTGAGAAACTCTTCCCGCACTCCTCACAGTTGAATGGTTTTTCCCCTGTGTGGGTCCGCACGTGTGTCTTCATATTCCCTTCGTACAGAAACGTCTTGTCACAGAATGGGCAGCTGAAGGACTTCTCCCCACTGTGGACTCTCATGTGAGTCTTCAGCGTTGTTTGAGACACATACGTCTTGTCACACATGTCACACGGGTACACTTTAATCTGAGGTCGGGAGAGGTCTCCATTAGAGTGGGCAGAGATCTTCTTGCAAGCATCACACTTGATACTTCTGAATTCATACAAGTCTTTGATGATATCACCACAGATATCACACTGGACTGTTTTACTGACCACAGACTCCTGACTGAGCCGAGTCTCCACTGACTTCTCACATTCAGAAGCTCCTGATTGACTTGCTCCAATCCTTCCACAGTTGCTTTGTGTGAGCTGGGCCTTGAATGCTGCATAGTTGGGAGGACTAAAATACTCCATGGGCATGACCGTAGGGAAGAGTGCTTGCTGGTCCATGTGTGTGTTGACAGTCACTTGCCTGATGCCAGTTGCCTTCTGTGACATGCTACTTTCCCTGTTATTACCTAATATGCATGGAACAAGGCCAAAACTGCCTCTTAGGTAGTCAGTCTGCGTGGGAAGTGCTGGTAGATCTTGTCTGTTAGGCTTGCTATGGCTTATCTGTGAACAAGATATTTCTTGATGCCCTGAAGATTCATGTCTGACAACAGGAAAATAGGTACTGCCCCCGGAAAACATCAGTGCTTTTACTCAGCTGGTGTTGCCAACATCAGTGTAGACATGCCGACCACAGTTGCTGGGACAGGCCCTCCATCAATTCAGCTCTGGCCCAGGTCCATTTTCTGCAAAGACAATATCTTAAATTGGAAAAGTGTTTGTAGGTACAGTACTGTTGTCTCAAACTAGGATGTGTCAAATACCTGGTTGTGATGAACTCATAGTCAGGCCCTGGCAAACTCTTGATACATTTATTACTATCTTAATCTGGTAGTGTCAAACTCGATGTGTCAAATTCCTGCTTGTCTCTAACTTAATTTATTATGCCCAGAGTTAAATATCAGAGCTCCAGATAAGCTTTTGGTGTTGTGGGTATTTTACCCATGCATTTTAAAATCATTGGGTATCAGTAATTCTATCTGGGTATTCAAATTTCTGTTACCCACTAGTTTTTACACATGTGGGTATTTAAGTTAAATATTTAAACGCTATTCATCTAGTCCCTGCAAACTGGTGTCGTGTGGGTTCGAGAGCTTTTACAGGACTCAAAAATACCACGATACTTCCACAAGAAATGATCATGATGTAACTGTCATCGTGGAGTTTGGCAAGGTTGATGGAATGCCTGTTTATAATTTCAAAATAAGTTGCTGATTTGCTAATCGAATACCCAGGGTTACTTCACAATATTTTGATGATACGCACAAGTTTTATTTTTGTAGTGTATCTGTAATGTTCGTTGCGTATTTGATACGCTTGGATTCTATTTTACTGTGTCTTTCTGTATTTCTGATGCATATTTCACGCAGATACGCAGCTTATCTGGAGCTCTGAATATAAATCAACATGATCAAAACATACTCTGATGAGTTGAACTAAACATTTTTGAAAACACAACTTCGGACAAGTTAGAACTTGTATCAAGAATAAAGTCCTTTACACTAAACGGTGTGAAACATCAGAGACAGAAAACTGTCGATTGGATTGTTTTTACTTTTATTACATAAATCCTACTTACATAACATGCATGAGCTGGTTGGCTTTCTGTTGTAAGATGTTTGTTTGTTGTTTAACGCCGCACTCAGCAATATTCCAGCTAAATGACGTCGATCTGTAAATAATCAAGTCTGGACCAGACAATCCAGTGATTGACATGGTGAGCATCGATCCACGCAATTGGGATATGATGACATGCATCAACAAAGTCAGTGAGCCTGACCCCCCGATCCCGTGAATCGCCTCATACAACGAGCATAGTTTCCTTTAAGAGCAAGATAGGATTGCTAAAGACCTAATCTACCCCGGATCTTCACAGGTTCTATTGTATGATGACTAGGTCAGACCGTAATAAGGTAGGATGTATCAAATTATTTCCCTGGTCAACAGGAGTTCAAGACAGCAGTGAGCAGGGTTTGACTGCACTTCCTATTGCTTGTGTACAAATTAGCATGACAAATTGCAAAAACCAAACAGTATAACAACACTGTGCATAATTACCCAAAGTAGCCTTTTCGGTTTGGGTACCTGTCTGTGTTTCCTTACAGATCTTTGTTGACTGCATTGAATAATGCACAAAAACGATGTGCTTCATGTGTTGTAGGTGAGTTGAAATTGGGTTTAACGTCGCGTCCAAGATTATTGCACTTATATAGCGAGACGTGAATGCATGTGTGTGTGTGTGTGTGTGTGTGTGTGTGGCTGATTGTACTAGTCCGGACTGATGCCGATTTATAGTGCAAGCCCACTGAGACACACCATGCCGCAGTTTAACATGAATACCCACTCAGACACAGTATACTGACTCCGAGCCGACCAGTCCTTGTTTTAGCCCCTTATTGCTGAGCACCAGACAAGGTAACAACAAGTACCATCTTTTAACGTCTTTTGGTATGATGCGGCCGGGGATCGAACCCTGGACCTTTGGCTCTCCGGGCTGACGCTCTACCACTAGACCACGGAGGCTTCGTGTGTTGTAACTTAGACATGTCAGGCATGTACACTGTTTATATGAGCTACTGCGAATGGTGACACACTTGGGGCCGCACATGAACAGATGCAACTGGAAGTCACATGAAACAGCATTAAAACCAGTTCTTGCTAAAATGCATAGAATTATTAAACCGCCAGCCTGTTATCAGAAATGAGCGGGCCACTGGAACTTGATAATGCCCTCATATTGCTTGATGATGGGCCATCGTCACGCCTGTTGTTAGGTTACGTCATAGGGATAGGGAAAGGTGACGTCATGTTCAATAGTGACGTTATCTGGTTTGTTCAATGATGTTTCCATATTTGTAAAAGTGGGTCAGTGACATTCGTGTTGATTCCAGTAAATGTTTCAAAACCTATATTGTGGTATATTTTTATTTGATAACAAATTCTATCCATTTTAGCTATAATAACGGTGACCCCTATTTTTCAGGGCATTATCATTTGTAGAAACCCTTGGTCTTTTCAACTTCCAAGTCGGCAAGTTGTTGGAAGACCTCAGGCTTCTGCAAATGATAAGGCTCTGAAAAATAGCGTTATCCTAATATTATATTTAAAAATGTCCACTCATTTGATATAACAATACAGTGAAATTCCCACCATTGGTACTAAGGTTCACATATTATTAGTTATGGTGTGTTATACGGTGTCATATTAGGTAAGCAGAAAAATATTGGGCAAGGCGTCAGCCTCTATGGCAACTAAAGACACCTTAACAAATTCATTATGCCGAAAAGTTTACACTATCTGGTATCCTTATCGCACATGTCATGTCAAAATGAAAACTTGACACTTACAACCATGACATTAAGGGTTCAAGAGAGACACTCTTCAAACCACAGAGGCCAAACCTTGTTGATAATTTAACAATAATCTTTATCAATAAAGTCACGAGCATGATCGAAAAAAACCCATAAATGTCCTTGCACATGAAAATTAATGATATTAAAACACAAAACAGTGTTGAATAACAAATTTCTGTACCATAATTTTCATGTGAAATATGTGAGGTGGGTGTTGGAAATCCAAAATGGTTGTTACTGACAGTATACGGTCTCATATGGGGTGAGTAGGTCTGCTCCTTGATTGGTCGATCTCACTTTTAAGCATAACAAAGGTGCATTTGTATGCTCTTACGATCTATCTCGACTCTATCCCAGGATTTAACCTGGAAAATTTTATTCCACAAAATTCCCTGTTTGCCAAAAAGAATTGAATTCTTAATGAAGGTAATTTGATTTCTACAAATTCCTTTTTAAAGACAAACCACTGTTATCATTTATGTAATGAACAATCAGGATGTGCCAAGGCCACCAAGAGATCATAGTGCGGAGATCATAACAACATTTATCAACAATTTCATGTTTCAAAAATAATTTCCATGAAACTTAGAAAATGGACGTAAAATATCTCTTCTTAGCCTACATATATTTGAAAAAAACAAGTGCAAAAGTGAGCGTGGCTCACTAATACCCCCGACCCGCCTAGTGTGTCAGTAGTTACAAATTAAATAGCTAGGATAGGGTTAGCCTTAGGGTTTGGAAAATTCATAAAAAAATGGAAAATTAATAAAACAATTTTGTTCTTTTGACTGCACCCCTCCATATGACACAGATTATATGTACTAAGTTTGAGATGAATCCACTGAAAAGTTTAAGAGAAATCGCGCGGACAAAGTTTTCGGACGGACGTTAGGGTTTGAAAAATTCATAAAAAAATGGAAAATTAATAAAAACAATTTTTTTCTTTTGACTGCACCCCTCCATATGACACAGATTATATGTACTAAGTTTGAGATGAATCCACTGAATAGTTTAGGAGAAATCGCGCGGACAAAGTTTTCGGACGGACGGACGGAATCTTGGTATAACTATATACCCCCGACATTTTGTCGGGGGTATAAAAAAAGATTCTAGTGGTTCTCTCACTCAACATGAAGGTTGCAAGTTAGATTCCCTGAAATATAAAGACATTTGTCGTTTGAGTTTACATCATCCCAAACATATCCTTATGTAGATTGTTTTCAAATGCAGAATAAATCTCTATGGAGGGTCACTCTATAGAATATCCCTGGGCAAAGGACTTCATATAATATCCCTGGGCAGGAGGTAATTTCTATATATCCCTGGGACAGAGGGACATTCTGGAAAAATCTGTGCTGAGAAATTATTCTACGTAATCAAGGCCCCGTTCAAAACAATAGAATGACATCACTAGAGGTTAATAAATCACTATCAAACATAGATCTACAATAACTTCTTCTTACCATCAATATTATAATGTCATCATATGTCTGACCGAGGACTATAACCAGTGATAACAAGGACAAAATGAAAACACCTTTTAAGCATATTTATTACTTGACTCCCTAAACTAACTGCTTCCAAATGCTACCAATCAAGGAAATCAAGGAAAAGCTAAACATGTCAGTTATATTAAAGGATAACGGGAAGCAAGCTCAAATGAAGTGTGATGACAGCAGTCTATCACCTTGTGATTGCAATGTAAGGAATGGAATGACGTTCAAAATTGGCCCCGCAAAGCCATATTGGCCTTCCGTTCCTTCTATATGATGGGGGCTGATTTGGGCTTATTACTGACAATTGATTAATAAATCACTTAGATATATTGAAGGAGAGAATAGTATGTTCAAAGATTGCATTTGTCATTCTGGTCTCACTGCACATGTTGATCACACAAGTTCTACCCTTTGTGATACCGTATTCGACGTAATAAGCGCCCAGGGCGCTCTCAAAATTGGAAATAGGGGGCTCTTATTAGAATATTATTTTGGTGGAAAAATCAGAGTTGAAAGATAAATTCCGTGGTTTATGCTGACGGCCATAATTAGGGTGCATATAACACATGAGCGCGTATTACACACGAATAAATAAGTCTTGCGTACATTGATCAAGCGGAAGGGGTGCTAATTGGGATTGTTCATTTGCCAATATATTAGCAAATATCGCTGTGGGCGCTTATTACGTCGAATACGGTATATGTAATTAGTTACCAGAAAAACATTTTCTCCAAATTGTTCAGTGTCAGCAAGCTCTCTGTTGATGCTATCAGCAGTATTCTACGTATAATCATGACAAGGTGACATCATAAATTGGTTCCACACATTGCACCTATGTCAGGAAAAGAAGCCAGATCCTATGTGTGGAGATCTGATGACTTAACCACAAGGCTACCCCACCACATTCCTGTCTGATCATGTTCAGTGTGATTAGAAATGTAATATAATTGTTATTTCCATCAGTGACAAAAATAACCCAAATGTTGCACTTCCATTATACATGAATAAACTATCTGAGGGACTGGTAATTTATTGCAGGGGGTAAAATCAGGGATGTGAGCAGGTTTTCCCGGAAAAAGAGGAAAAGTCTAGGGGGGTCTGGGGGCATGCCCCCCCAGAAATTTTTTAAACATTTGATTGCATTTTTAAAAATGCACATTTTTCATGACCCTCCCCTAGGGACTATCATACTGTTTGGTGACCCTCACCCGATTCCCTCCAACCCACCCACCCCTATAATAAATGACCGGTCCCTAATGTGCCTTGCACACTTTCTCCTTGCAATCAGATTTAATCCAACTTATGACACCATCTATACATGTAACCATCTTGCCGAAGCAAGGGCCGTTTTATGACTATAAAAGTCCAGTTTCCACTAGGATGGAATTTCCAGGCTCAATCGTAGCACCACCATTGGCTATTACAAGTTATGTCCCTACCATTGACCAATCAGATTCCATCTCTTATATCACTTGCAATTGCTTCAAACAAAATGGTGGCACCCAGTCAAGTCGATCTGATCGATAATCAAGACCTATATTGTAATAAAACAGGCCTTACCTTGCGAAGTGAATTAATTCACTTGAGCAACTTGATTAAAAAATGAAAAGACTTCCAAAATATCTGTCTACGCCCATTTGGCAGTACACATGCTTTGCACGTTTGAATCCATGTTGTTTACGAACCGGATGTCTCGTTTGTTACGCAAATTTGATTGGACTATGCATAGACTCGTTAGTCCATGCAAAATGTAACTCCGGAATTCCAGTCTAGTTCGGCAAGGGTGGAAATTGGACTCTTAAAGTCAATTAATGCCCTTGCCTTGGGAAGATGACATGTAACTTAATGTGAGATAACTCATCAATGCCCAGGTCATAATAGCTGACGTTTTTTCTCATTACCTATCACTGTCATCACTTATTTACTCTGATGGTGAAGCTTCATCCCTTTCGGATCATCTTTCCAGACAATTCCATGCACTAAACTGTCTGTAGAAAGTACTGACTTGAAGACATTATTATCCTCTTACATTGAGTAAATTTGTGTATGTGTGTGTTGTGTTTGAATGTGAGTGTGTGTGTGCAGCAATTTATCTAGACCTGCACAGGGGCCGATATTTGGCTCAAAGGCTGCAGCAAATATCACTGAAAATTCCCCAAATGCAATTTAAGGATTCTCACTTAATGTAAGTTACAAATAGCGAAGTTGCTAAAAAAGACAAATATATAGGAAGATGTTTTAATGCTTAGTTACATATTATTGCCTTGAATGTAATCTCAAAATATGTTAAACTTGGCCTAACTCAAGAAATATCTTTATAAATTCCAAATTTATAACGATTTTTTTTCCCCCCAGTTGCCTGGTAAGGGCACTTAGAATCCTGTATAAATCCCTGATGTGTGTTGTGTGTGTGCATGCATGTGTATGATGTGTGTGTGCATGTGTAGTGTGTTTTGTGTTGTGTGAGTTTGTGTGCACATGTATGTGTAGAGTGTGTGTGCATGTGTGTGTGTGTGTGTGCGCATGCGTGTACATGTAAAGCAACTTTGATAATTATTTTATCTGGACAATATATCAAATATTTATCACTTTGTTACAGACATATTGTCAAATCTGAGCAGAGAGCATTCACTCTGGAACTGGGAGCTATTTGCAGATATACGCCATTTCAGCCCTATTTGGGAAGCTTTATATCTATTTTAAATACCATAATTCTTTTTTAGAACAGAAAAAGGTGTAATTCTGGATCAGTGTGTAGATAACCATGAACAGGTTGTCTCGGGCGGACTTGGACGGTTGTTAACTTAGGACCCTCCCTAAACCGTTACCAAGACTCATGAAAAGTATGACCCAGGGAAATTCCTGCAATAGGTGCCCTGCTTGTTGTTGAGCGAGTGAGTGAGTATTGTTTTATCCTGCTTTTGGCAATATTCCTGCAATATCACGACAGGGAACACCAGACACTGTACCTTTGTGGAGGCTAAATTGTTGCATGCATATGAGTATGGTTGCTTGTGCTAGTCCAGAATAATGCCGGTTTTATAGTGCTTGGGTGGTGCCTGGTGGGTAGCCTAGTGGTTAAAATGTTAACTCATCACGCCAAGACTGGGTTTGATTCCCCACATGGGTTTATGTGCCAAGCCCAATTCTGGGGTACTCCGCCTAGATATTGCAAGAGTATTGCTAAAAACGGCATGAAAAGATACTCACTCACATTTATAGTGCTAGCCCACAGAGATACCATGCTGTGGTTTTTGACATGGAGACCCTACCCAGACACAGTATACATACTCCAACAGAACCAGTCTTTTATTCATCCTGTTAAAGCCGACCCCCAGGCAGGGTAACAAAAAGGACCTTCTTTTAACATTTCTTGAGGTGACACTACCAGATGATCGAACCAACAACCTCAAAAAGTGTGCTAGAATGTATGAAGGTAAAATGTACAAGGCATGTCCCTATACTGTGTGCAGTAGGGAAATGACACATTCATTTGCCATTTATCTGTAACTTGTCGTACGACAAGGAAAAATTATGTCAGAATGAAGGCCCGGATTTTACTCAATTATGATTTTGCTTCGAAAGGAACTCATCATGCGTAAAGACCTGCCAAATAAATAATAAACAGTAAACACCGTTTTCCCGACACAATGTTTCTGGAACTAAATATATAGAATAAAACATTTACCAACGCAAATTGGATATTATGAATGTTGATGCCACAATGCTGCCTTGGTGATTAAGGCATCGACGTCCAAACCAGTTGTCTCACACAAAACAGAGCCGGGTTCAGCAAGTTGTTAAAAATTGCAAGTCTTCCTCGTTCACAAACTCACCTCTGACAGCAGTTTACAAATGAGAATTATCTCCCCCTTGTTCGCCAATTCCCCACCAGTCTGCTACAAGCGGCTTGATACGAGGCTCCGTCTCGTAATATCAGAAGTTGACAACAACGCAGAGAAACTCGGGAACCAGCTTAGCTATTGTTTTCAACAAGGAATGATCTATAATCGAGCAATTATTTTGGAATTAATTATTCATAATTGTTATAGTATACACATAGAATAATCCATGGGAATGTGTGCGTCAGACTGTTTATTGAGATCGATTCCATTTCATATAATATAGACCTAGAGATTATATAGTCATGTTATTTCCATCAGAACTCGCAATTCTGTTTCTCTACCAAGGGTGGTCCAGAGGATGTTCATTGTCTATATATCCACTTAGTCCGGAAAAATTCACATCTGCCCGTTCCATGGTAACATTTTAATGGATATCATACGTATTTTGCAACACTTTTATAATTGAAAAAATGGGAAACAACACTATTATCCGCTTTGTGTAACACCAAACAAAAGGCACACAGACACAGAGAGAGAGAGAGAGAGAGAGAGAGAGAGGGGGGTAGAGAGAGAGGTTGCGAGTTCTGAAACCCATTTCGTAACACCTGTCGCTAGCTAGATACACACGCCAATGTACATTTAATATTTCTCTCTGTTTTCAATATTTTACGTTCATAAATTATTTTGCTGTCCAAGGAACGTCGTTATCGGGATCATCAAGATATCCTTATTACTTCTTATATGATTTAGGCCACTTAAATCATTAATATTGAAGGGGTGCTGTTGCTTGATTAATCTAACGCATATACGAGTATATCCCGAAATATATGGATAGTGAACAAGAAAACCAGACTCAGTGTAGAAGTGTAAAATGTATTATAAGTGAAGCGGGAAAATATAACGTATAAAGTACTAAAACAATCCCAACAATGATGATACATGAACACACACACAAAAAAGACAGTACTTCGATCTCTCCTACATTAACAGCATAATGTGTAAACATTAAAATTTACAAATGTCATCTTATCCTAATTGCGCAGAACGATGCTCATGGTCCAGACTCGATTATTTACAGAACGCATACCAATAATACACCATCTTTGCGCCTCCAATAACCTTCTTCGTGTCATATTCACAGACAATGCTTCAACAATGCAAGACAGTGACGTTACCGTAAATACCCGCAAGCGGTGTACATGTATTGCATGTTAAAAATGAATGGGTGGCATGCTGCACGTGCATGTCGTGCTGCGATGTGACATCACAGTTGTCACTGTATCGTCCTATGATTTGGACGGAACACCATTCTTGACATATTCACCACGGAATTTGCAGTTGTTGCGAATGGGGTTTATTATTTCCAGGGGTGCTTAACTTATTTCTTTGTCATCCACATCCTCATCCACATATTACTTTGAGATGTGAGAACATGTTTACACATTCTCACGATATCTCATCAATTGAGGGGCGGTCGGGTAGCCTAGTGGTTAAAGCGTTCGCTCGTCACGCTGAAGACCCAGGTTCGATTCCCGACATGGGTACAATGTGTGAAGCCGATTTCTGGTGTCCCCCGCCGTGATATTGCTGGAATATTGCTAAAAGCGGCGTAAAACCAAACTCACTCACTCACTCATCAATTGAAAGTGAAGATGTCGGAAAAGGCGACTAACGGGTTCGGCCGGTCAGGCTCGCTGACTTGGTTGATGTATGTCATCGTATCCCAATTGCGATTGTAGATGGAGGCTCAACATGTCAATCACTGGATTGTCTGGTCCAGACTTGATTTTTTTACAGACCGCCGTCATATATCTGGAATATAGCTGAGTGCGGCGCTGAACAACAAACACAAACAAACAAACAAAACATTTTTTTAAATATCTGTTCAGCTGGAGGGGGAGCGGAAGTGAACTTTTAAAGTTATCTACTTTTATTGAAATTAACAAACTATTTTGATAATAACTAAAATATGAAAAGAAAATCAACAAAATCAACATGTTTGTCATGGTAGGAAATACGATCCGCAAATTACGTCATCGGGTATTGTGACGTGATTGTAAACTTTGAGGTGCAAGGCCCCGTCCCACAAGGCGATCATACGGTAGCGCAACGACAGTCGTTGGTCTAAGTTAAAGTATATGAGTTGCGATAACCTTAACTCTACGATAATTTTGTGGAGCGGACGCCTGAATTCTAAAGGTGGACCGTTCTATGGTATTAAATTCATACGTTTCAATTTTTGACGTGTTTGAAGTATTACTGTGTTAAACTCAATTGGATCATGCCGTGGATCGTGTAGGTGTCAGCCTATTCACACTCAACAGTATAATTCTAAAAAACGTTATAAATGGCCAGTAATAAATAAAATACTAAACTCGCTCCCGTGTAAAACCAATTTTATGAAACGAGTGAATAGTTCTGGTATCTGACGAGCGAAAGCGAGTCAGATACCAGAACTATCCACTCGTTTCATAAAATTGGTATTACACGGGAGCGAGTTTAGTATTCTATATACAGTCAAGTCTCGTTAATCCGACATCGTTGGTTGCACATGATTGTGTCGGATTAACGAGTATGTCGGATTAACGAAATTAAGTGATATGTGATCGAAAATCGGACATCTTCACGATAGATAATAACCGTGTGTACCTTGTAATAAAATCATTAAAAACGAAATATTAATATTGTTATGTTGTTTATTCATTCATTCCTTAATTTATAATTAATGACTATGCAAAAATAATAATAATTTTCCCATTTATACATAACAATAGAACCGCCGTCATATAGCTGGAATATTGCTGAGTGCGGCGTTAAACAACAAACCAACCAACCAACCATAACAATAGAGACATTACTCACTGAATTTATCACATGATCAACGACCCACGTTTCCCCGTGTAAATGCAAGTGCTACTGTCTTAACAACTTGCTTCATCTACTTAAAATAGTCTGTCAGTGCGTGTCAAAACACGGGGTTGTGTACTCGCGGTCAGATGACCACGGAGTACGCTGATCACTGTGTCGGATTAACGAGACTGATTAATGAGTGATTTCGGCAATTCGTTGCAAATTAGGTGTGTCGGAGTCGGAGTGCGAGAATGTCGGATTAACGGGACTAAATAGCACTGAATCAATCGGTTCCCATCATTTGTGTCGGATAAAGCCGAGTGTCGGATTAACGAGTGTCGGATTAACGAGACTTGACTGTATGTGCCCTAGGGTCATATCACGCCATGAGACAACAATGTACTGTTTCCATCATCCGAAAGGCATTGTTGACGTCATTCGAATCTTATTGTGACGTGAGGTCTGAATGACGTTACACTAGAAACGATGTCATAGCTGAAGTTTGTTGACGTCATTCGACAAATTGTGGTTCCGCTGCTCTTGCGACTTGCTGTCCTTATATTATGGGTAAACACTAAAATTCGTCTATGTTTTGGGACATCTTCTTCGGTAATAAATAGAACATTATATTCGTGTTCATGTCATACTATGTTTACCCAACTCGTGCCTAAGTTCCGGTATTTAGACACTCGTGTCGTAAACATAGTATGACATGAACGTATTTATAAATATGATATGATTTTTTAATATCATATAATATCCTCTACACATATATGCTTACATAGATATGTAATGGATCTTTCAAATGACACCGTTATGCATAAAATCTACTTTTTAAATGCTTTATTTTTCTTAATACGGTGTAAGTTCTTACAACAGAGAAAAGAACAGCGTCTATCCTACTAACATGAATAACATTAAAATAATTTAACTTTGCTGCACAGAGGTGAAGCGAACGATTTATCCCTGGTGGTGGTTTTTTACCAAAGAGAAGATAACTCTCATTGCATAATTGTTTCGAAGCAAGTGTCAAAATGATGCTAATCAGGTAAAATTGGCAACGGTAAAATATAATAATTCGTCTTTTTTTCCAGTGCACCAAACCACACAGGCTGACTCTAGGAAGAAATGCAACCACACAACATCTGCGCTTTTTTTTCTAGCTACTTAGTCTGGAAAAAAACCCTGGGGTTGATATGAACAGCGATGCTGCGACAGACTTATATCCTGACAGTATGTCAAGGGATCCTTGTGAATGTCGCTGCCTCGAAATGTCGTTGCAGAAATGACGAACCGGGCGTAACCGATACCTGATTATGCATTTCGGCGTTGCAGGGAGGACATGATACAAATAACGCAATTGACAGTTATTTGACAACTGAACCAGCTGGCTATCATCATCGACACCGACGACAGATAATTATATGCTTCATTTTCACCTCGGCAACACAGGTGTCCCAGTCAGTGTGGCCTCTTGCATTTGGAAACGCTAGTCATTTACAAGGTTCATCACATTGTTAAAGGGTGTATATGCGTGAATAACAGAAGATTTTCTCATCATTTAGATATCGCTCACTTGGCGAATCGTTTGATCATTGGCATTGTTCACTCTCGGATGTTTGGTTCTGCTCACCAGCGGTATATATAGGCCTATTCACACTTGTGGTGTGAGGTTTGTATAATGGTTCTCTTGTAGTTCAGCATCTTTTTAAAGAGCATGTAAACATTGTTGTGGCATTTATTTAAGAAATTTCCGTGTCCATTATTGATTGATCTTCAGATAGCGTGCATGCAATGACATATGCCTATAACATTGGGTCAGGCTTTTCAGACCTCGAAGATATCTAATAAATGCTTACGTCTCATATTATGAATAGTGATCTGATAATCTTTTCAGAAGGTTTGTTTATTAAGAAGTAGCTAGGAGTATTTACAAATATGATTCACTGGTTGCATGACATATTTATAAATCATGTAAATTCATTGATTATAACAAGTTGTAAATACATGAACCATAATACTTTTGATTATTACGAATGCAGTAAGTCAGTAATAATTGTTATTGCAAATGTATACTAGTTAATATTGTTATTTCATTTACCTTTTAATACTAACCATATTGCAATATGCACTGCCCACAACTGTCATGATAATGATGGAATATTTCTGAAAGGGACAGGGTGTCGACCGTGCTGACGCTTTGTTTGTAAACGATAGCCGATAACTCCCAAGCTTGCTCAACCCCCAAGCTTACTTAGGTCTACTTGTATTATTCTATTTCTGCTCTTGTGACAACACTGCAAGTTTAGGCTTATCATGTGACTGGACTTTCCTCTTGTTAATGTTAGTAAACAAGCGCACTTATCCTGAAATAAGAACAGACAGGCCTAAGCAAGCCTTTTGGTGCACTTCATATATTGTTTTGCATATTTTTTTAGATATGCTACTACAACAACCACTACACTGAGGAGCATGACACCATAGTTTTAGACATCGGGACTTCGTAACAGTACTTGCAAGATAAATGCTCAAATTGAAATTATTTTTTTACGTTTTAGGATATTTTCCCAATGAAAGTTGAACATGATGTATGTATTTTTAAATGTGTAGACTCGTCCAAAATGAAACAGAAAAACACATGAATAAACTGTAAGATGTGACGCTGTGACATAGGTACACATAGGCTTCATACGACTGAGGCATGTATATATTGTAATCTGGGCTTTGATAAACACTGGCTTCTATTCTAAACAAGCTGGCAGTAAGTATTTTATAACGAAAGAAAGAAACACAAGCTTTCTCTTCAACTTGCCTCTATTAAAAACAAGACTGAAGTGAGATTACTCTGTGCAGTGCTTGCATTGTCAGCTTCACTGTGTGGAGCTCTATTGTTTTGTTTTGAGAATTCAATTAGGCATGTGACGTCACGCTCTGAAATTACTTAGTTCATGATTTAAAAACACAGAACTGTCGATGTACTGTTCCTTTAAAAAAGGGTTGGTCAGGTAGCCTAGTGGTTAAAGCATTTGCTCGTCACACTGAAGACCCGGATTCGATTCCTGACATGGGTGCAATGTGTGAAGCCCATTTCTGGTGTCCCCGGCCGTGATATTGCTGGAATATTGCTAAAAGCGGCGTAAAACCATTCTCACTCACTCACTCCTTTAAAGTAGCATTAAACCAACCCAGTCTACATTCAGTATTTCACATGTTTGTCTACACTACGTTCCTTCATCTCACTACGTGAGTGAGTGAGTTGGGTTTAATGCCGCTTTTAATACTATTCCAGCTTTATCGCGGCATGTCAGCTTAATGTGGGAGGAAAGCCCGAAGTGAGGCAGGTCTCAGACATTTACCACTTCGGTGAAACCAACGAGCATGTGTATGGTGCTGACAAACCTAGAAACATAATCGGGGTGAACTGGGATTTGAATCCACAATCAAATCACGGCACCTAAGACGACTGGGCCAGCTCATCGCTTGTGAATACATACTGTTCATATATGGCGTAGTAGTGATAGTGATTAATAATACATGTATATATATTTAGTTAGGTAGTAAAATGAAGTCGTTATAAGTCATGGATTTGTCCAACACTGTGCATAAATTTTGTCAGTTACAGTGACCGAATCTCCGTGCTGCTCCCTTAAACAATTTGGATATTGACTTGTCTCTACAGAGAGCATAGGCTGTTCCATAGTGTTTTCCTCATAGATTCCTTATCCAAATGTGCGTCGCACTTCATATCTGTACATGAGTCATGATCTGATGACAAATGCATCAGGATTCAATTCCTACGACACTTGCCTTCGAAATACAAGTGTTTATATTTTCGGTCATTGCAACAAAACATCCATACCCTCTAATATGAAAAATAAATGTTCAATGATTGAAAATATAAGTACACATATTTGAGGCAAGTGTTTGAGATAGTGAATTGCATTGCAGCTTTTGTGGGATTACAATTCATGTACATTATGGCAGGGTTTCTTAGGGCAGTATGTTCTGAATTGTGAATCTGTTCTTTTATGAAAACACAATGGAAGAGCATGTAGCTCTGTGTAGAAAGTGGGTATGGTTTTACACTGCCTCTAGCAATATTCCAGCAATATCGCGGCGGGGGACACCAGAAATGGGCTTCACACATTGTATCCATGTCAGGAATCGAACCCATGTCTTTGGCGTGAAGAGCGAACGCTTTAACCGCTAGGCTACCCGACTGCCCTACTCCCCTTTAGAAAACACAGGATTGTGTAGTAACAAGTCTATATCAAAATCATATAGCAGCACAGAGACAAAGTACCATTGCCTGATGTTGATGAAATGTGAAGAGGTGTGCATGAAATCTATCAATGAGTACAACTACTGTGTTGTGTTGTAGGTGTAGCAGACCCCTAATATGATGGGGGAGGAGGCCCAAGCTTGGGGGGAGGGGCTGGTGGAAGACCTCCACTCCCTGGAGCTAGCCCAGCACTTCCAGCTGACTAACATGGACGGGGATGACCAGGCGTGGCGGGTGGAGGAAGATGACGAGGCCCTGGAGCTAGAACGACAGTTCCAGTTAACCAGCATGGAAGAGGACTTAGCTGCTGCAGAATTCCTCGAGAATCTGACTGAGATGTTGGACGGTTCCTCTGACAATGAAGAAGCTTTCCAGGGACCAGATGAACCGGAGGAAATCAGTGCTGAAGTTCAGAGTAAGTTACACACATGTCACAGATGTGAAAAAGTATTTCCTAACCCTTCCTCTTTAAAGAAACATGTCATCCGCCAGCACAAAGACAAGCAGACGTATAAATGTGACACATGCGAGAAGACATTCAAACAGAACATTAACCTTGTGGAACATATGAGAGTTCATACTGGAGAGAAACCCTTCCAGTGCCAAGTTTGCGATAGACAGTTCTCTCATTCCGGGAGCCTGTATCGGCATACGAGGATCCACACTGGGCTAAATCCGTACGAGTGTTCCGTCTGTGAGGCAAGCTTTACTACAACCACCAAACTAAAGGAGCATGTCCTGGTCCATGTTGGAGAGAAACCCTATGAATGTGAGCTGTGTGAGAAAGCCTTCGCCCACCAGTCATCTCTCAAATACCACATGAGAAAACATACAGGGGAGAGACCATATCAATGCGATGTTTGCGAGAAAAGCTTTTACACATCTTCCCATTTGATGCGGCATGTGAAGATCCACACCGGAGACCGACCTTACAAGTGTGAGCTCTGTGGGAAGGCATTCATCCAGGCAGAATTCTACAAGCAGCATGTCAGAAAGCACACTGGCGAGACACCGTTTCAGTGTGAGGTGTGCCACAAAGGATTTGTTGGAAAGTCTCACCTCAAAGAACACATGAGATCTCACACAGGGGAACGTCTGTTCAAATGTGATGTTTGCGACAAGTACTACAGCAGTTCCAGTGCATGCAAGAAGCACATGAGGGTTTTCCATGGGGAAAAGAAGTTCCCCTGCCCTCAGTGTGACAAAACCTTTTCGTTGCCCGAAGCTTTGGAGAAGCATAAGCGAGTCCATACAGGAGAGAAGCCGTTCCGATGCGATGTATGTTCGAAGTGTTTCATCGGCAAGAAGAACCTGAAGGATCACATGAGAACCCACAACACAGAAGGCTTTCCGTGTCAGCTCTGTGGAAAACGATACAGCAGCACCAGCAACCTTCGCAAACACGTCCGCGTCCATCATGGCGGTAAGCAGGTGACGACTGGGAACCAAGATGTCCAGGGAGTACCCCAGACCATCACAGAAACAGAGGTTTCTGTCCAGGATTCCGTCTATGACCTCCTGGAAAATGAGGACACAGAAAAGGATTATGAAGAAGCCTCTTCCATCTTAGATCTCTTTCATGAGCTGGGATCCATCGGCAACTCTTTCGACCAGACTCAGGATTTGTAAATGTCTCAGAAATAGGATCTGCATCATTGTAAAACCATTTAGACAAGAGTATACTGAAGTATGACCTGCTATGTCTGTGAAGTTTATAATTAACTTATATTCTCACAGGTGTACACATGGCTTGTACTAGATATCATATTTTAGGGGAGAAAATGAAAATGGACACTTGTTATGTTCATAGAGTTAAGTCAATGGTTATACATGTTTTGAAGATCATAGATTTCCCTATCTTCAAGTCTTTATGACATTCCGTTGGTTGCTATTGTTACATTTATATAGTCGTGGTACTGTTTGTGGCCTTCGTATTGTTCATAATGTGTCAACTTTCTATGATGCATCGGTGCACACTGTTGATAATATATTTTGAATGTATCACATAACGCACATCGATCCTTCCTGTGACGTGCTAGAGGTGAGACAGTTGAGGTCGTTGTGTTGTGATGGCACCAGTTTGTAGCAGTGGTACATTTGATGCAGTTATACAGTGCAGTGATCGAATATATTGTGTTCATAATATATAGTCAAACATTGTAGGTATTAGTTATACAAAATAAATTACAATGCAGTGATACATCATAATGAATTTGCTGGAGACAAATAAAAATAGAGCATTTTCATGATTTTCCAACTTTTGATCTCAGGACATTTTCAATTACATAGTCCCAAAAATAGAAGCCAGAACCTGTCCGAAACTCTTGATACATAGTTTTATATGAAGGGATGTAAGAAATGAAAGTGGTACATTGCAGTGTTATACAACATATATATTACACCCATATTTACACTACTGGTAGTGGTATAAACATTAATATTGCATTAGAAACGGACCAGTGTTCGTTTCTAATGCATCATGATAACATCTTCCCTATGATTATTGGGTACTTATACTCACTGTTGTTTAACATAGTTGCAGAAGCACTGCAAGTATGTTGATGAAAGCATCCTTATTCATCCTCTTTTATTGTCTCACCTCTAGCCTACATACTTTGTGATCTTTTCTGAAGCCTTTAGAATACGTTCCAAAGGTTCCTTCTTTCTGGGAGTATGATGCTCAAGGTTGTTGTTATCTGTTATTCTAACAAAAGGATGTTTTTTATCCTCTATCATGTTACTTTTTTAATGTTTGTTGTGATCATATTTGCAAGGAACTGAAGTCATGTCCCAAGTGACACACATCTGTACACCGATATGCATCCAGGGGACAGCTCTGTAGAGTCATTTCTGCTGATAACTGATGTCTGTCTTAGTTCTGCAATTCTCTGACTTCCCTAAACGAGACAACAGCTGTTGCAGATTCATCTCCAGCAGTGTTTGGCTTTAAGCATTAACGCTAAGATGTGCTTATCCTAACAATCATGTTGAAAATTTAGGGGTCATTGAAACATGAAAACCTCACAGATCCAAGGTCTCCACTTTAATTTCAAACACTGTCCAGTTATTTGATACAGTACAGGGGTGGTCGGGTAGCCTAGTGGGTAAAGCGTTCGCTCGTCACGCCGAAGACCCAGGTTCGATTCCCGACATGGGTACAATGTGTGAAGTTCATTACTGGTGTCCCCGTCGTGATATTGCTGGAATATTGCTAAAAGCGGCGTAAAACCATACTCACTCACTCTCTGATACAGTACAGGTAGTGGAGCATTTGTGAATATTTAAAAAAAAAATTGTATTGTAGTCATGGTAATCACATTTGTCTATTTCCCTGTAATGAAACGATGACTTTACATGTATATACACACCATTTCCAAATGTGTAAAACTGAAGTTATCTCCCTTTCCCCAGCAACCCTTGAATTGCTAACCAAACTCATTCACTGGATTCAACGTATTCAGAATACAAGCTTCATTATAATCATATGTACAACTATCTACTTTACCTCTTGTAGTTATTTCTGATTGATGTTTATATAAAATGAACAATAATTCATTATTTACCATATTAACATGGATGCAGTTTTCCTATTACCACCTTCAAAGTAGATCCACATGATGTTGATATTGAGTATCATCAGTTTTGAAGTATGTAGCATTAAAATCAAATCAACTGATCACAAATCTCACTGGGCATTACATTAACCTATCACTATAAATTGATAGTTAGCAGAGTGAATAAGAATATTTTTAATCTAATTTTCCTTCGATTTGAGGATAAATTTACAATGTTCTAGCTTTCATGAGTGTATGTGATTCATGAATACTAGAGGTGTCATAATATGGCTGGCTACCTGATGTATCAATACATATTCATTATTGTGATATTTCTATAACAAAATGTGTCATAATATGGCTACCTGATGTATCGATACATATTGTGATATTTCAGTAACAAAATGTTACATATCACAATACTATAGGTTTGCAAGGTTTTTGCGAGAAATTGTCCATGGGTCATTTGACCTGGCTGACAGAGGTTCTTGCTACCAACCAGTTGTATGTTTAAGATTGCATGATTAATTTCAGGTTATTCTAATATTACTAATATTCATTATGCAATCAGATTTTGCATTTTGTTTCAACGGTCACCCAACACTAGGCCCAGTAGTTATCAGGCAGTGCTATTTGAGAACTACATGTAATTATTATTGTTTTGATAATTGGTACAGAATTCAAAACATGAATCTATACTGTTGTAACATGTATTGTATTGGCACATTTAAAATCGCGATACCAGGGTTAGAAATGAATTGGTTTCTACAGTCCTCCTAAAACAATCAGTTACAGAGTTGTTATCTACCAAATGGACAATGTGGTAGTCCACTAGAAAATATTACTAATCCTTCCCTAATCCTAGATTAGTTGACTTCATTTGAACCCTGGATACCTGAATAAATTGTTACATATAAAAACTGTAGCATGACATCCCTAATGAATACTGTACCAAACTGTAGCATGACATCCCTAATGAATACTGTACCAGACTGTAGCTTGGCATCCTTTATGAATACTGTACCAGACTGTAGCTGACATCCCTAATGAATACTGTACCAGACTGTAGCTGACATCCCTAATAAATACTGTACCAGACTGTAGCATGACATCCCAAATGAATACTGTACCAGACTGTAGTTGACATCCCTAATGAAAACTGTACCAGACTGTAGCTTGGCATCCTTTATGAATACTGTACCAGACTGTAGCTGACATCCCTAATGAATACTGTACCAGACTGTAGCTGACATCCCTAATGAATACTATACCAGACTGTAGCTGACATCCCAAATGAATACTATACCAGACTGTAGTTGACATCCCTAATGAATATTGTACCAGACTGTAGTTGACATCCCTAATGAATACTGTACCAGACTGTAGCTGACATCCCTAATGAATACTGTACCAGACTGTAGCTGTCATCCCTAATGAATACTGTACAAGACTGTAGCTGACATCCCTAATAAATACTGTACCAGACTGTAGCATGGCATCTCTAATGAATACTGTACCAGACTGTCTCATGACATTCCTAATGAATACTATACCAGACTGTAGCTGACATCCCAAATGAATACTATACCAGACTGTAGTTGACATCCCTAATGAATATTGTACCAGACTGTAGTTGACATCCCAAATGAATACTGTACCAGACTGTAGTTGACATCCCAAATGAATACTGTACCAGACTGTAGCATGGCATCTCTAATGAATACTGTACCAGACTGTCTCATGACATCCCAAATGAATACTGTACCAGACTGTATCATGACATCCCTAATGAATATTGTACCAGACTGTAGTTGACATCCCTAATGAATACTGTACCAGACTGTAGTTGACATCCCAAATGAATACTGTACCAGACTGTAGTTGACATCCCTAATGGATACTGTACCAGACTGTAGCTTGGCATCCTTTATGAATATTGTACCAGACTGCAGGTGACATCCATAATGAATACTGTACCAGACTGTATCATGACATCCCTAATGAATATTGTACCAGACTGTAGTTGACATCCCAAATGAATACTGTACCAGACTGTATCATGACATCCCAAATGAATACTGTACCAGACTGTAGCATGACATCCCTAATGAATACTGTACGAGACTGTAGTTGACATCCCTAATGAATACTGTACCAGACTGTAGCTGACATCCCTAATGAATACTGTACCAGACTGTAGTTGACATCCCTAATGAATACTGTACCAGACTGTAGCTGACATCCCAAATGAATACTGTACCAGACTGTAGCATGGCATCCCTTATGAATACTGTACCAGACTGTAGTTGACATCCCTAATGAATACTGTACCAGACTGTAGCTGACATCCCAAATGAATACTGTACCAGACTGTCTCATGACATCCCTAATGAATACTGTACCAGACTGTCTCATGACATCCCTAATGAATACTGTACCAGACTGTCTCATGACATCCCTAATGAATACTGGAACAGACTGTCTCATGACATCCTTTATGTATACTGTACCAGACTGTATCATGACATTCTTAATGAATACTGTCTGTATTATTATCACTGCTTGTTTCTCTAAGTCGACTACAGAGTTTCTGATGTTGGTGCTACCAAGGTGCTATATGTTTAAACCTCCTCAGAGATCATTGGCAGGTTAGCCGATAATTTCATGCTTAAGTAAATTGTTCATGCCAAATATATAATGAAACACAGCATTTCAGACTGTCAAATGATGAAGATTTTGTAGATTGAGGATTATTTTATTGAAGTGACCTTTACAATGTTGACCAAGCCAAATATTGATCGCTGCTTGTAATTGATACACATAGTATGTCAGTCTCACGTCAGATGGAAACAGTTTGAGGTGTGTACTGTTTATATTTTTAAAGTGACCTTTTGGATGCCTTAACACCAAAGATATTGTAAATTCTTCTTATACGAAAGTAAGATGATCTATCTGCATCATAAATAATTATTTTTGCAACTTGACTGCCCACCTGTAAGTGATCTACATAATGTCACTAGTCTGCCCTGAACTGGACTTGTGATGGACTAGCAGCGTTATGCTTTTTCAAAGCCTGTCTCGTGGTCTTGTCCCTGTATCCCATGTTGCGAGGCTTCAATAGCCAGGGTTCCAGAGAAAATTCTTTGAGTCATTGAGTATTCACTCACATGCTATAATTCACATTGGGTATTCATGGTTTTTCTTCGAGTATGCCATGCACGTTTGCTGTAGTCTAGGTATTTTTAAACCAGTGATAAAACATAATGCTGTTTGTATGCAGTTTCAGAGGACAATTTGTGCATTATTCACTGAAGTAGAGTTCATGTATTTATGACATTTATGATGCCTGTGGTCATTAATAAATATCTGTAAAGATATACAGGTATGCACACTGAGTAGGCTACATTGGATAGTTCATGTGATTACAAACAGTATTGTTATACTATTGTTTTTTTATTTAGTTTTGATTTGCTGCCTATTTTGTACACAACTCAAAATTAATTGGGTAATCTTTTATGTGATATTGCAGTTTATCTAGAGCTCTGAATATTGCTGTCCATTGTGCAAAGTTCAGTGTATGGGACCAGGACTACATACAGAGCTCCTTCAAACCAACCTCAGGACTGTTTCTGTGTTATTTCACTGTGCAGGGACTAGCATTAATGTTTAATTTTTGTTTTATTAAATCAATTTTGTTTGGGAAATTGTTGATAAATATAAACACATAGAGGTACAAAGACTGTTGTATCACTTCATCTATAACATGTACCTTTTAAAGACAATTTAAAAGAATAATTTGTGAAACCATACAGTTTTTGTAACCCTGTTTACAGATTTCCTTGGTAATAGTGAGAGATCTAAAACTTTGCTTAGAATAGATAAAAGCAACTGTAAACAGATCATAGCTTATGTACTCATATCACACCTGCTGTAATCTCATAGTTGCTGAGATTCCATAATCACATCCAAGATTTCTTAGTGACAGTCAGACATTCCATAGTGACAGTCAGAGATCCCATAGTGACAGTCAGAGATTCCATAGTGACAGTCAGAGATCCCATAGTGACAGTCAGAGATTCCATAGAGATCCCATAGTGACAGTCAGAGATTCCATAGTGGCAGTCAGAGATTCCATAGTGGCAGTCAGAGATTCCATAGTGGCAGTCATAGTGACAGTCAGAGATCCCATAGTGACAGTCAGAGATTCCATAGTGACAGTCAGAGATCCCATAGTGACAGTCAGAGATTTCATAGTGGCAGTCAGAGATTTCATAGTGATAGTCAGAGATTCCATAGTGGCAGTCAGAGATTCCATAGTGGCAGTCAGAGATCCCATGGCATGCATAGTAACATCAGATTTCATCATGACCGACAGATACCTCAAAGTGGCCATCAGTTTTCATCGTGACAGATCTCACTGACAGATCTCACTGACAGATCTCACTAACACTGACTTATTATTTGGTAATGTGAGAATTCTGAATAAATACCCAATGTTGATGTAAATGGTGCAGCATGGTGACAATTTCGTCCATTAGAGTTATTTTACCTGCACTGAAATAACACAGACAGCGATGTCTAATAATCACTTACAGTAGAGTTTGATGAGAACAGTTGATCTTTCATTAAACCTTTTTAAGTGAGACTTCTATTTTGTGTAATACTTTAGCCCAAAGGATATATTTCTGCTTATTATGTTTACCGAGATCTATTTAATATATTGTTTTGTCAAACCATCCTTGTGATATTATTGTTGTCAAATATGTCCAAATGTCAGATTTATGTCTGAAATATTCAGACACAGATATAGTGTATCTGTTGGTGTTTAGTATTCAGCATTGCATGGCAATTATGTGATGTACTTTATCATTCCATTGTCTTATATATATATATATATATATTAAATGATATTTGTGTTTATGTAGCAAGCCAAAAAACTGGATGTATAGTAATTTTATATTGTCCTGATATATTCTATTTTATTTATAACATTTTAAAAGGAGAGCTAGATCCAAAGGGAAGCAGTGTCATATGGCTTCACATTTAGAAAGTTGTTTTCCACAAAATCAAGAATTCTTAAGTAAATTTGACTTGTTGATGTCACAGATTGTTTAAGAAAGATGAAAATTGAAATAGGAATGACACCTCTGAGGTGTGGAATTTGAAATAAAAATACTATCTCTCCCTCAATTTTTGGAAAATATTGTTTTACTACAACTTAATAAGATGTTATTGCAGATTTTTGAAATCTCACCTTGTTGGTTTTTCTGTCACTGATGTTTTTACCGAGGTTTGTTAATTATTGTGTGTAGTGGACATACCATCCATGTTGGTTTATAATGATGTTTGTACTGAACTGTGTTGTAAATGCGGCCATGTTCATTTATTTTACAGGGGGCACGGGTGGCCCAGTCGTCTAAGGCGCCGCGATTCGCTGTGCAGAGTTGCGTCCCTTGGGCACGCCAGAAACCTATGATTGTGGGTTCGAATCCCGCTTCGCCCCCATTATGTTTCTAGGTTTGTCAGCACCATACCCGTGCTCGTGGGTTTCACCGAAGTGGTAAACGTCTGAGGCCTGCATCACTTCGGGCTTTCCTCCCACATTAAGCTGACACGCCGTGATATAACTGGAATAATGTTAAAAGCGGCGTTAAACCCAACTCACTCACTCACTCACTCATTTATTTTACACTGATGTTTTTGATGATCTGTGTTGTGCATTTATTACATGGCGGCCATGTTGGTTTATCTGAAACTGGCCTTTTTACTGAGCTGTGCTATTTTGCATTTATTGCATGGCAGCCATGTTGCTTATTCTAACACTGATGTTTCTACTGATCTGTGTTAATGTGCATTTATTACATGGCGGCCATGTTGGTTTCTCTAACACGTCTAACACTGATGTTTCTACTGATTCGTGTTATTACTCACTTATTATATGGCGGCCATGTTGGTTTCTCTAACACTGATGTTTCTACTGATTTGTGTTATTACTCACTTATTACATGGTGGCCATGTTTGTATATCTGAAACTAGTCTTTTTACTGAGCTGTGCTATTTTGCATTTATTGCATGGCAGCCATGTTGCTTATTCTAACACTGATGTTTCTACTGATCTGTGTTATTGTGCATTTATAACATGGCGGCCATGTTGGTTTCTCTAACACTGATGTTTCTACTGATTCGTGTTATTACTCACTTATTACATGGCGGCCATGTTTGTATATCTGAAACTAGTCGTTTTACTCAGCTGTGCTATTTTACATTTATTGCATGGCAGCCATGTTGCTTGTATAACACTGATGTTTCTACTGATCTGTGTTATTGTGCATTTATTACATGGCGGCCATGTTGGTTTCTCTAACACTGATGTTTCTACTGATTCTCGTGTTATTACTCACTTATTACATGGCGGCCATGTTTGTATATCTGAAACTAGTCTTTTTACTCAGCTGTGCTATTTTACATTTATTGCATGGCAGCCATGTTGCTTGTATAACACTGATGTTTCTACTGATCTGTGTTATTGTGCATTTATTACATGGCGGCCATGTTGGTTTCTCTAACACTGATGTTTCTACTGATTCTCGTGTTATTACTCACTTATTACATGGCGGCCATGTTTGTATATCTGAAACTAGTCTTTTTACTCAGCTGTGCTATTTTACATTTATTGCATGGCAGCCATGTTGCTTGTATAACACTGATGTTTCTACTGATCTGTGTTATTGTGCATTTATTACATGGCGGCCATGTTGGTTTCTCTAACACTGATGTTTCTACTGATTCTCGTGTTATTACTCACTTATTACATGGCGGCCATGTTTGTATATCTGAAACTAGTCTTTTTACTCAGCTGTGCTATTTTACATTTATTGCATGGCAGCCATGTTGCTTGTATAACACTGATGTTTCTACTGATCTGTGTTATTGTGCATTTATTACATGGCGGCCATGTTGGTTTACACTGGGCTGTGTTATTGTGCATTTATTACATGGCGGCCATGTTGGTTTACACTGGGCTGTGTTATTGTGCATTTATTACATGGTGGCGATGTTAGTTTACACTGGGCTGTGTTATTGTGCATTTATTACATGGTGGCGATGTTGGTTTCTACTGAGCAGTGTTATTGTACATTTATTGCATGGCAGCCATGTTGAGTTGTATTACAAGAATGTCTACTGATCTTTGTTATTGTGTGTGTTGTACAAGGTGGCCATATTGGCCATGACCTCCTATATACAAGTGCTACCTAAAGAGCCTCACATATTTGCTGTTACATAAATACTATATTTCTATTGTTTTTATATAGTCCTGCACTCGTGGCCTTATGTCTCGTACATGTATACACACACTGACGTTTACACAACTTTGTAATTCGCATTTTGCACCTACAATTTGATACAGTATATTTTTCAAGTTTTTTAAACTTTCATACTGTATGTTATAAACATTTTGAGCACAACTCTTATTGATGTATTATTCCCATGTTTGTTATTTGCCTTTCCCTTTTGATGTATACAACTAAACTTTTGACATGTCAGATGTGTCAGTCAACATAAAAATACACTTGACATGAGAATAAGTTTTGTCTATCATGGAAAGATAAAAAAATATACCTATCAAAATTGGAGTGGAATATCTTATCTTATCTGACAATCTTTCATCAAATGATTATACAGTGTTCGAAATTAAGCATGAAATGCAAGGGGTCTCCAGACCCAAGTGTTAAGAGTGAAAGATATAGATGATCCCTTGATTCAAGTACTATAGTAGTAAACATTAAAGACCCCGGGACCACTTAACTTCGAACACTGATTATATCTTTTGGGAATTATTGCATGTATCCCTTGTGTGATCATTATATTAATGAATGCTGTTCCAGTAAAAGTAACTTGATGAGTTGTCATATTTACCTTTGCTGATTGAGTATATTTACTATTTAGCACAAGCCACCCGAACCTTGGGATATTTGAAGTCCTGTGATCATATTGTGTATTTTAATGCAATTGACAACATTTAGCTTCAGATTCTGTTCTCGCCCAATTCAAAAAGTGTTCTACTGTTGTACATGTTGTACTGCCCTCTACTCTTTTTGTCAATATTGACATGGCAGTAAAAATAATAGATCGAATGTTCTCTAGGGCTGTGACGATACACCAACTGTGCAATCTGATACGTATCATGATACCTTGCTCACGATCTGATATGTATCATGATACGTGCATGTGCTGTTATCTGTGGTGCATAAGCCATCTTTTTCAAAGACAGGTTGGCCAAATAACTGACATACCCATGATTTACAGTTGGTAGTGTCAAGTATGGTGGAATGGATGAAAATATTTATGTTTTCACAACTAATTTTCACTAGTAATTAGTGTTTAGTGTAGCAGTTATTAAAGCAAACATTTAATGCAAGTGTCAATATTTTTTTACTTAGTGTGCGACATTGATAGATACTTGTATTGAGAAGCCAAAAATTGTGATACAACGGTGCAAGGGTGTATCGTACCACTACTAATGTTCTCCTACTCTAACATCATGTTGGTGAGTTCCTCTATCTGCTTGAGGATAAGACAGCTGGTGTTGTGCAACCTTGTCAGATGAACGATTTCTCAATGTCACAAAGAAAATTCAATATTTTAATCCCCTACATCTGTACATTAATGTAGCCAAAGATGTAGATGACAACTGATGCATTCGTACATCACAAGTTGATTTGCAAGATAATATAACTATTCACAACAACAGGCAGACCATGGCCAGTGGTCTTTGTCACGATTTGCAATGCATAGCTGCATCCCCATGGCATGCTAAATAGCTGTCGATGTGGATTCGAAAAAATCCCAGATACGCCCGATTATGTTTCCCATGCTCTTTGGTTCCGCCAAAGTGGTAAATGTGTTATACCTGCATCACGTCAGGATCCCTTCCACATCAAGCTGACAACCATGATATAACTAAAATACTGTTCAAAACAGTGTTAAACCAAACCCACTCAATCACACAGAAATAATCTCAGTCCATCTATTGTCATCTTTCATAAATAAGACACTGTGAGATTGTAGTGATTTTACTTAAAGATGCTTGAAGTGTTGTCAGATTAGCATTAAGCTACAGCTTTAACAAATAGAGCAGACTTCAATCCCAGTGAAAAATCAAACTTGTTGAGATGCAAAATCAAAGACTTTCTGTCAGTATTACATTTTACTGTTTCTGGCTCTACATGTGTTTGCATATGACACTATTGATGGTGGAGAAACAGCATTTATTCTACATGTTCTATTTACAAGATGTTTTTGTCATTGTCTTTGGTGCTATCTGGTGCTTCTAGTGCACACTGTGTAGTATTGGATTCTCCAGGTGTTGTAGTTTGTTGTTGATTACAAGTATCAGTTTCATGTATATGTCATGGCGATCCATTGGCAGCAGGGTTGGTTTGAGTGTCAAGATGCACGTGTTACTGGGATTTATCTAGGAATCTAAACCTTGTGCCCCTGCCACGGAAATTAGTGAAAAATCATAATTTTGTTCAGAGATATTTGAACATTGCTATAACATAAAACAATCATTTAAACCTCCTCCTCTTGTATTGGTCGTGTTGTCAGTACAATACAAGTCACCTCCACAAAGTCATACCATTAGTTCTAACTATATGACACATATACATATCCCCGTGTTGTCTCGTACAGCTTGTGACAGGGCTCGGTAGTTGGATTGGGTGTGTCATGTGTTGAAGTCATTGCTTGTCATGCAACATAATATTACAGCCCACATACTGAGCTGCATGAGAGGCAGCATGGTCAATACTTCATGGGCTTGCATGCTCTTTTCCTCCATCATCCGTGATGCGGTGTGGTCATGACGAGTGCCTATTTCAGGTCAAAACAGATGAACTGTTTATGGACCTTACCTACAGTGATGTCGTCCTATTGTTCTTAAAGGGGAAGTGTACACGCAAAAATCACTTTCTTTCTTTTTCTAAACAAAACGCAATTTTAGAATTAGTTAATGTCTGTGTTTGAAAATGTAAACTCATTTTTTTCACAGTGAAAGTAGGAAGCTCACAATAGTGTGAAAATGATATGCCGTTATGAGGCCTTCGTTTTTCGAGCTAAACAGGCCTGAGTTATCCCCCTTAGATTATGACGTAATTGGTGCCAATTCAACTGGGTCCCTGTCTATTCTGAACGCAAAAGATATCAAGTACAAGTTTTCGGTAAAACAACATGGCCTACGACACACTCCGGCGCAGTGGTGACTCAGCATAACACAATTCTGGCTGGCATCTGAGACGCTAGAATCACAAAACTGTACCTACACCACGTGAAGCGGCTCTAACAAAGCATGATGACGTCATAATGTTTATCAATTGGCACCAATGACGTCATATTGCAAGGGGCATAAGCCATGGTGTTTTTGTTATGGAAATAGAACACTTGGTAAATGTGAAAAATATAAATCCTTTTAATGCAAAAAATATGTTAATTAAATAT